CAGCAGGAAAGGGAAATATGTGATACCCCTTCAACCAAACACGTTTTTGGGGGAAAAAAAAGAAAAAAAAAAAAAGAAAATTTAAACCTTACCTTAAACAAATCCACTGCCATATCTTGGTCGCCCGTGAAGAGCAGCAGCTGTGAAATAGTCCAGAGACATCAGGGTTCAAACTCCTCTGAAATAAATGCAGGCAGCTCACCTCACACTGACAGGTTGCTCTCATGGTCTCACTAGTTTTAAACCAACAGTATTGACTTCAAAGCAAGATTTAACCTGATCTACACTTGCATGAGTGATAAATCAAGCCTGTTCTTGGTTCAACAGCTTGGACAGTTCAAATTCGGTTCAGTTTAGAAGCTTAGCGCCATCAGTAGGAAACTTTTATTTGAAAAGGAAAGATTAAAGTCTGCAGGAGCTGATGAAGATACCAGGAAAAGCAGGCAGAGTGAGACAATGCCTAAAAAGCCAACTGTTGCACTTCAGGTCCTCTGCAGCTGCCAGTGTTCTAGGCCCAGAGGACAGAAATTAGCAGAACAGAAAGAAAAATAAAAAGAGGAAGAAGTGGATGGGGAACCACCTTGACAAGTTCAATAAGCTCAGGAAATCAAGGTTTTCTAAAAGATGAGGTGGGATAAAGGTACAGCAAAGGGCAAACAATTCAGATACTCTTGAGTCTTCCCACAGCACGAAGGTCAATGAAGATTTTATGTCAGAAAACAAGATGCTGGAATTGAAGCTTGCCAACAAAAAGTTAGTGTATTCATCCTTACATTTCCACTAGATTAAAATAGGACACCTTGGGTAATTTTTATTTATTGAAGGCAGTTCTTCTTCAAAACCTTCTAAAGCAATTACAGAGAACTATATCTCCCGAGAACACACATGCTTGAAGATGGAGTATATTCTAGGGAATATGTGATCCTTATGGTAGATGTGCTAATTCCCTCCATTAGTTTTTTTTTCTTAAGCTAGTTAAAATTGAGTCTCCAAGTGCTGATCAACTCTAAATCTACTAAAATGGATGTAAATCTGTAAAAACTCTGCTGAATTCACAGTGGTGGAAGAGCCAGTGCCAGACCATAACTAAGCCTTATGGGGAAAATCTAAAAGTCTGAAGTTCCTGGGAGTTTTATTATTGCACCAGGGATTTCTCCCTAACTGTTCCCCAAGCCCAGGGATAGTCAGCCTGTACTTTCTCTAATGTGTAAGGGATGGAAGAAATCAGAAAAGAGCATCCAATAAATCAACTGACAGTCTCTGAAAAATAGCTGTCCTGTCTCCTTAATATGAGAGAGAGTAATGTTCTGAGGGCAGGAAGAATTCGGCTTTAGACAGAAAACATTCCCCTATAGGGGGACAAAAAATGATCATTCTGTAGTTTAATCAATCTCAGGCCTCTCTTTGAGTGAAATAGCGTGTTGCCTGCAACAGCACGTGTAATAATGTTTGCTGAAATATAAACTGTGGCCATATACCCCAAGATGGAAGGTCAGAAGTCAACTGAGGATCTGGCCGCAGATGTTCGGCAGTGGAGATCAAAATGCAATATATCAAACTCAGTACTTTTCCTCAAGGAACAGGTTGTAGAAATTTCTCGACCCGTCTCCTTCACAGTAAGTGCACGCACCCTGCACGTAACAAAGCTGTACATCACAAATTGCCAGGTTACTCAAAGACAAATTTCACGTTTCCTAATTTCTCCTTGTCCTGTGCTTGAGCATTTGAATATTGATACAGTGAGTTTGCTCTTATCCACAAACACAGCTCAACTGAACCTCTGCAATGTTTTTCAAGTCTGTCTACCAAAGTGAAGAATCATATGATATCATTCAGTCCTCCCCCAGTCCTTGAGATATGTTTTCTAAAGCTGACATTTGATATTACGGAATGTGTTGTAATCAATTCTTAAAGTTATAGCAGCACTGGATTTTTATTAACTTGCACAACAACAACAACAACAACAAAAATCCAACAGAAAAATGGGCCCTCATAACCAATCAGCCTTGTTATATCCTGAAAGCTGCTTTAACAAGCAGGGAGTAATATAGTGTAATTGGTACTCTGCAATTTAATTGTTCTGTTCTTAAATCTAATATTGCAGCTGTGGGTTAAGTTTACACCACAGCTTTCAAGAGAACATGAAAGTGTGGTACATCTGTGCAACAGAAAGCTAAACATCTCTCATCTGATGTGTTTACAATGACATTTGATAGCGTGGAATGGTTTGGAGTTCATTCTTAAAGCTGCAGAACCGCTTTTCAACACTGCGAAAAAAGGGAAAAAGCCTCCAATCTCCTTCCAGGAGCTCAGCTCACATAAGCCTGACAATAATGCTGCTACAGGCATTGCAAGGAAGCTGCTGGCTGTAACAATTCCTTCAACTATCTTTAAGCATTTGTCACTTGGGCAGTGGAAAAGGAGACAAGGACATCTTCCCCCTCAGATACCAAAATCAATTATTTGAAAAATGAACCACTCAAAAAAGCCTGCAACTAGTCAAGTAAAACAACCCGTGACACGCATAAAACAGACAAGAATATTTCAAGAAATGTTAAAACGTGGATGACTTTAGCACATTTAGAAATAGTGGAGTTTTCAATTTAACAGGTGGCAGAACTGCTTATGGTATCTTGAACTTCACATTCTGTATAACTAACAGCTTCAGCATTATGTACTTGTTAGTGAATTTATTAAGCTCATAAGTAGTTCAAGAAACTTAGGAATGGGACCATAAATGTCATCTGCAGTTTGTGAACTGCAAGTATCTGACTGTTTTGATCAAGGTTTTTATGGGAAAGTTAAATGGTTATTAAAATCATTTACTACTGCTACACTAAAAGGGAGAAATCCT